GCCTTCAAACCAACTTTCGTCAATTGTAATACCATGTTTGATATACAACTCAGTGTTAATCAAATGCCTGGCTGCATCAATTACCTTCGCTGGTCTGATTGTTTCAGTCATATAATCATGCTGATATGCCATGCGACGTTTAAGGTGTAATTGAATCACCTGAGCTTGATCGAAGTTTCTTGGCAGGGATGTTACCGTTTCACTAACGAGAGCAACGATTATCATGAAAGGCAATCGTGCTGTAACCAATCGTTCCTCTACCGACGTTAAGTCTTTTAGAGGACTCGGGATGTCCGGAAAGTCTAAACCGTTTGCGAGACATATATTCGGTCTTTTCCCATTCTTGATTGCTCGACTGCAGGTTTTACAAAAAGTATATGAGCCATCAACCGAGGGAAACCTTTCAGATAAATAAAATACTTCATTAATAAAATTTAAATTTGACATACCTTGTTTTTGCAATGATTCCACCTGGTGAGGAAACCATAAACCGCCACAGCATGTGCATATCCTTGTTGGTCCTTGTTTAATAACATCATTGTATCGCTGGAACTTCAGTTGATTTCGTCGTGTAATTAATCGCGCTGACTCCTCTTGCCTTTCTTCATATGAAATACTATTTCTACGCCTTCTGCTTCGTTCGGCCTGTTGCGTGTTGGCCCGAATCCTATTGCTGGGGTTTCGTCTATGGGAGTCCACTCTAGACCTAATTGACCGGTTCAAATCCTGTTGTTCGCTCCTCTGCACGATTCGCCTTTGTTGCCGTTGTAGCGTATTTCGTAAACGCTCTGTCACACGAATTTCGGGATTTTGTCGTCTTTGCGATTGCGATACTGTGTTCCTTCGTTGTTCTTCCTCGTTATATATTGGATCCCTGCGTCTATTGGCATGTTCCACAGTATTCCTTTGTTGCTCATCTTCATGATATATGGGGTCCTGGCGTCTAATAGCATGTTCGGTGGTGTTTCTAAGCCGTTCCTGATCATGAAACAGTATATCCTGGCGCCTAATAGAATGTTCGATTGTGTTCCTAAGTTGTTCCTGATCATGGTATACGGCGTTCTGTCGTCGTTGAGAATGCGCTACGGTGTCCCTTTGTTGCTCCTCTCTGCGGTACAACTCATTCTGACGTCTTATTGCATGTTCGGCAGTATTCCTAAGTTGTTCCTGATCATGGTATATGGGATTCTGGCGTCGTTGAGAATGTGCAGCAGTATCCCTTTCTTGTTCCTCTCTACGGTAGATCTCACACTGACGTCTTCGTGCATGTTCTGCAGTGTTCCTTTGTTGTTCTTCCTCATGATATATTGGATTCCGTCGTCTTTGAGAATGCGCTGCTGTATCCACTTCTTGCTCCTCTCTTCGGTACAACTCGTTCAGACGTCTACGTGCATGTTCAGTAGTATTCCTTTCCTGTTCCATTATACGGTATTCCGAATTCTCCCGTCTCTGCATATGTGCAGTAGCATCACGTTGCTGCTCAGTTGTTCTGAATTGCGTGTCCTCTCGTCTAGTTGTGTGCGCAGCAGCATCACGTCGTCTTTCTGCCATTCGAAATTCTTGGCTTTGTCGACGTAGTCTCCTCCATTCTGCGCCATATGTTCGCCGAATAGCATTGTTTTGTGTAGTTCTTAGAGAATCTCGTTCTTCTTGAACTCGATTCCTAACAATGCGTCGGCGTGTGGCAGCACTCTGTTTACGTGTTCTTGGCATTTTTAGTGTTATTAGTGTTAACTGTTTGAAATGTATATTAATACTGATCATGTGAATTGCGAATACACAGCATATATAAATACCCTTACAACTGTTTTTTGAGTATATATACAGGTAAATTAAATGTACTTAATTTCTTGTTTATGTACCCACTTTTAGATCAAAAATAATATCAACACATATTTCGCAGGTACTTGTGCTGATAATACCTTTTTATACTGATGTATCAAAACAATAACAGATTAGCCGTCGTGGATCAGTGATAATCCGTAACAGGTAGATAATATACCTGTTACGGATATTCATTAATCTGTTATTGTTTACACAACATTTTAAGATTAGCCGTAGTGGATTAGTGTAAATGAAAGTTGTAAACACAAGGTACAGGTAGATCTTTGGTATCATTAATTATATTGACATATGAACCGAAAATTCTCAAAATCATAACGTACTAATTTACCTCCCAATAATAAGAAAGATTAAGTAGATGAAACACTACTATTAACATAATGTGTCTTTAACATTTTGACACATACGGATGAGAATATACAGTCACTATTAAATATCTTTGTACAAATATATGAGAATACAAATTGGTTTATTATTTTTTTAAATTTAAACAAAAATTAAAATACAGTTGAATAACAACACAATTCGTTTGATGCCAATTTACTTGAAACCGGGGGAAAATATATATGGAAGCTCTATCCAAATATTAAGCGATTTGAAACAAACTTGTCACAGGTTAGATTGTTCTAATTTCAGAAAGTTTTCCAAATCTGGGCCGATTTTCTCGAAACTTGGCAGACATCACTCTAGGCTCAATTCAGTACGTTGTGCCAAATTTCGTGCAAATCGAAGGATATATAGGGACTTTGGTGCACCATTTACATGAAATCGGACGAAACTATATATGGGAGCTATATCTTAATCTGGACCGATTTACACGAAACTTGGCAAACATAATTCTATGCTCAATTCAGTATGTTATGCCAAATTTTGTGCAAATCGAAAGATATATAGGGACTTTGGGGCACCATTTACATGAAATCGGACGAAACTATATATGGGAGCTATATCTAAATCTGAACCGATTCTCTCGAAACTTGGCAGACATCACTCTAGGCTTAATTCAGTACGTTATGCCAAATTTCGTGCAAATCGAAGGATATATAGGGACTTTGGTGCACCATTTACATGAAATCGGACGAAACTATATATGGGAGCTATATCTTAATCTGGACCGATTTTCACGAAACTTGGCAGACATAATTCTATGCTCAATTCAGTACGTTATGCCAAATTTGGTGCAAATCGAAGGATATATAGGGATTTTGCTGCACCATTTACATGAAATCGGACGAAACTATATATGGGAGCTATATCTAAATCTGGACCGATTTTCACGAAACTTGGCAGACATCATTCTAGACCTAAATGATAAGGCTGTACCAAATTTCGTGCAAATCGAAGGATATATAGGAACCGTTTACATTAAATCGGTTAAATATATATATGGGAGCTATATCTAAATCGGAACTGATTTTTCCCAATTTCAATAGGGTTCGTCCTTGGGCCGAATAAGTGACCTATGCCAAATTTCATCCAATTCGGATAATAAATGCGACCTGTACTTTGTTTAGAATTTAACAAAAGGAACCATGTGTCTATCTCGATTATGTTTGCCTGTTACAAACATATGCACAAAGACATAATACCCTGTACCACAGTGTGGTGAAGGGTATAAAAATGGGAGCTATATCTATATCTAAATCTAAATCTGGGCCGATTTTCTCGAAACTTGGCAGACATCACTCTAGGCTCAATTCAGTACGTTATGCCAAATTTTGTGCAAATCGAAAGATATATAGGGACTTTGGGGCACCATTTACATGAAATCGGACGAAACTATATATTAGAGCTATATCTAAATCTGAACCGATTCTCTCGAAACTTGGCAGACATCACTCTAGGCTTAATTCAGTACGTTATGCCAAATTTCGTGCAAATCGAAGGATATATAGGGACTTTGGTGCACCATTTACATGAAATCGGACGAAATTATATATGGGAGCTATATCTTAATCTGAACCGATTTTCACGAAACTTGGCAGACATAATTTTATGCTCAATTCAGTACGTTATGCCAAATTTGGTGCAAATCGAAGGATATATAGGGATTTTGGGGCACCATTTACATGAAATCGGACGAAACTATATATGGGAGCTATATCTAAATCTGGACCGATTTTCTCGAAACTTGGCAGACATCAGTCTACGCTCAATTCAGTACGTTATGGCAAATTTCGTGCAAATCGAAAGATATATAGGGACTTTGGGGCACCATTTACATGAAATCGGACGAAACTATATATGGGAGCTATATCTAAATCTGGACCGATTTTCTCGAAACTTGGCAGACATCACTCTACGCTCAATTCAGTACGTTATGGCAAATTTCGTGCAACTCGAAGGATATATAGGGATTTTGGGGCACCATTTACATGAAATCGGACGAAACTATATATGGGAGCTATATCTAAATCTGGACCGATTTTCTCGAAACTTGGCAAACATCACTCTACGCTCAATTCAGTACGTTATGGCAAATTTCGTGCAAATCGAAAGATATATAGGGACTTTGGGGCACCAGTTACATGAAATCGGACGAAACTATATATGGGAGCTATATCTAAATCTGGACCGATTTTCACGAAAATTGGCAGACATCATTCTAGACTTAAATGATTAGGCTGTACCAAATTTCGTGCAAATCGAAGGATATATAGGGACCGTTTACATTAAATCGGTTAAATATATATATGGGAGCTATATCTAAATCTGAACCGATTTTTCCCAATTTCAATAGGGTTCGTCCTTGGGCCGAATAAGTGACCTATGCCAAATTTCATCCAATTCGGATAATAAATGCGACCTGTACTTTGTTTACAATTTAACATGGACAGACAGACGGACAGACGGACAGACGGACGGACGGACGGACGGACATGCATAAATCGACTTAGAAAGTGATTCTATGCATATTCTCAAAAGGAACCATGTGTCTATCTCGATTATTTTTGCCTGTTACAAACATATGCACAAAGACATAATACCCTGTACCACAGTGTGGTGAAGGGTATAAAAATCCACGCCTTGTATGGAGCCTTGAAAAAATATTCTTTAAAAAATCCACGCCTTGTATGGAGCCTTGAAAAAATATTGTTTAAAAAATCCACGCCTTGTATGGAGCCTTGAAAAAATATTGTTTAAAAAATCCACGCCTTGTATGGAGCCTTGAAAAAATATTCTTTAAAAAATCCACGCCTTGTATGGAGCCTTGAAAAAATATTCTTTAAGAAATCCACGCCTTGTATTGAGCCTTGAAAAATTTTTCTTTAAAAAATCCACGCCTTGTATGGAGCCTTGAAAAAATATTCTTTAAAAAATTCACGCCTTGTATGGAACCCGAAAAAATATTCTTTAAAAGTCCAGGCTTTGTATGGAGCCTTGAAACAATATTCTTTAAAAAATCCACGCCTTGTATGGAGCCTTGAAAAAATATTCTTTAAAAAATCCACGCCTTGTGTGGAGCCTTGAAAAAATATTCTTTAAAAATCCACGCCTTGTATGGAGCCTTGAAAAAATATTCTTTAAAAAATCCACGCCTTGTATGGAGCCTTGAAAAAATATTCTTTAAAAAATCCACGCCTTGTATGGAGCCTTGAAAAAATATTCTTTAAAAAATACACGCCTTGTATGGAGTCCGGAAATAATATTCTTTAAAAAATTCACGCCTTGTATGGAGCCTTGAAAAAAATATTCTCTAAAAAAATCCACGCCTATTGTAGTCCTTGAATCCACGCCTTGCCGGAGACCTATGCTTTCGATCTTCACACTGATCAAAAGCGGCGTCGTTTGCGTCATAGCTTTTTGTTGTCCCATCTCAAGTGTAGATCAATTTCTGTTTAACAAATAAACGAAACTGTTTATTTTCTGATTTCATTTTTATTTTGTTCATGTCTGTGACTAATATCCCATTCACACATGTCTATGGTAAACACTTCCGTATAAACGGAAAGATCTTCAAAAAAAAAAAAAAAAAAAAAAAACCGGACAACGGCAAAAACTTTTGACGTCAGACGAACGTTAGAAACAACGCAAATATTTGTTTTGCAATAATTGTTTTGCTTTGTTTATGTTTTTTGTTTGTTGTTGTTGTTGTACACATTATCGTATAGTTCTATAACTCATCTCACAATGAAGACAAAATGTATTTAATAATAATTTTTGACAGAAGATAGCTTTTAATCAGTTAATTTGTTAGATGCCAAGACAAGAAGCTATGACATGGAATTATTAGATTTATTAGTTATGATAAAATGTGTGTGTGTCTGTGTGTGTGGATATTTGTTTATATTTGTAAGTTGTGATTTCATTGGGGTTCATTGGACACATGAAATGTAATTGTGTAGTGTTTAATAACGGTGTAGCATTTTTAAATTCCAGAAGCAATAAATGGTAAAATATAAACATAGATTATTTGGAATGTGTATGTAGAGGCATAAAGCAACATTAAAATGCCGAAATATGTATTTATCCAAACATAAGAACAGACTGATATCGTGAGTTTCATCTTTGCGTCTGAACCAAAGACAGTTCGACTCTGCAGTCCTACTAGAAACAGCTGCAGACTCGAACAACTGAACAAATACCACTTTCCGCGGATCTGCATTCAGAGACTATGCAATATTACGTGATATTTGTATCATTCTAACTGATCAGAGTTCAAGTTTCGATCTCTTACCCAGGTGTTTTTTTCGAATCATGTTTTCTGTGATGATGCAAATTTTGTGATTTTACTTATAAAAATCTTGATTGATTTGATTGCTGAATATTCCAATTAGTTGACCAGAACTCCTTCCCAACGAAAAATTGTGATTTTCTGATTTTAAAAGTGGCCTCTAAAAAACGACAAAAAGTTTTCCGAACATTGCATC